GGCAATTAAAAATAAATCTTAGAGGTTAAAAGATCTTATGAGTGGGTGGTATGACAGATGAAAAACATTAATTTTTAGAGACATTTCTTTGTGCCTGAGAAGCACGTATTCTAGTGGCCTAAAGGTCGTTGTTGGATGTGAATAAGAATGCTTTCTTGTGCATCTTCACAGATGCACAGTTTCTTAAAGTCATTTTGCAACAATTAAATCTCCCTTCAGAGGCACATTTACAGGGTCTGTCCAGTGCATGGAGCTCATCTATCCCAGAGGAGCATGCCCTTTCTAGAAAGAGCAGAACTTGGGGAACTGGCTGTGGTTTCTCTGGCATGCAGCTGTCCCTTCCCAGCTGTGATGCTCTGAGCCTAGCCTCCCTCCCACCACTTTTCCTTTGTCAATCTTCTGCATAACCCAAGGCAAAGTTCCCCCTATGGTTTAACAGCTTGATTTAACTGATACCTTTTAAAGTCCCTCGAGGTCTAGGTCAATTTCAGATGAATGCTTTTATGTCTACAGTCTCTTTCACTGAGGTGTATTTAGCCAAAGAAAATAAATACAAAGGAAAGTCTGACCTCTTTTCAAATCTGGGTCACATTCTTTTTCATAGTGGCCAGCACTTAGAATGCAGATTCAGAGAATCCACTAGTGTGTCCCCTTGGAGTACGTTCCAAGAGACCAGGAAACCACCTCTCTTCTCAGGCTGTGCCATATCCCTGGGTGTTATTTTAATAAAGCTATTCCTCCTCCCCTAATTTAGTAGGTAAAATATTATTGAGCTAATATAACTCAAATGTTTTATAGTTAATTGCTAATTGTAAGAAGTTGGAATGAGCAACTGTTTTCATGGTCTTTGAAATGAAATCTTTGTAATTTTTGAATAGACTATTTCCCTTTGAAAAGACCAACATTTTTTTCTAGACATTTTAGACATTATATGTGTGAATTTATGCAGTAATAATTTAATGATGACTTAAGTTATTAAAATCAGTCCCTCATCTTGCTGTAGTATCCAGCCCAAATTGTGACCAAGAAGTGGGATTTTTTATTCACTTTGTCTTTTTCTTTATCGTTAAAGATTCGTGTTTAGTTAACAATAAGCTACGGCAGGGTATAAGCCGCATTGCTTGAATTCATTGTATTTTCCAAATTTCTTTTTCTTGCAAAAGAAACATTGGAAAGAAAAGTTAAAGTCAGTTTCAGTGTTCAAGGCATGTGCAGTTTTTGCCTGTATATGGTTTCTGTACCTGTTTCAGAACAGTTGCTTAAAATGCAATAGACACATTATGGAAGATTTTTCCTCAGTTTTGTCTACAAGTTCGTCTGAAGGTGGAACTTACCATTGATGAATGCCTCCAATAATGATTGTTTATTTCTTTGTTTGTTTGTTTGTTTGTTTGTTGAGACAGAGTCTCACTGTGTACCCTTGGTTGGTCTGGAACTCACAATTTAGGCCAGACTAACCTCAAACTCACAGAGATCCACCTGCTTCTGCCTCCTAAGTGTTGGGATTAAAGGCATGTGCCACCACTTATTTTTTAATTGTGCCTGAAATTATATTGCATCATCAGCATCTTGATTCTTTTCTAAATTCTTGAGAAAGTCTACATAAAACCTTAAAAATTATAAAAGCCTAAAATATGCAGAGTTTACATTAGAATTTATCTTGTGCCACATTGTCGGATTTTGTCAAGAAAATATTAATAATAGGGCTGGTGAGATGGCTCAGTGGTTAAGAGCCCTGGCTGCTCTTGCAGAGGACCCAGGTTCAATTTCCAGCACCCACATGGTAGCTAACAACCATCCATAACTCCAGTTCTAGGGGATCTGACGCCCTCTCTGACCTGTGTGGGCATTGCATGACATGGGTGCACTTACATACATGCAAGCAATACACTCAGACCCATAAAATAAAAAATAATAAATAAAATATTTTAAAAAGAAAATAATGTCAATGACTATTTTAAAATTGAAAGTTCTTAAGTCAGTTCAGTTTTGCTGAGCTGCATGCCTAGGCATTAGCTATTCAGATTGTGAAGTTGGATCTATATGTATAAACAGTATTTGATAAACATTTGCAATAGCATTGCACACTTGTCACATATGATCAAATAAGTAATTTGCAGGCTAATCATACTGTGCATGTAAACTCCATTTCATGAGTATGTTGATGCCCAGGATAACAAAAGCAGTCCATCTCTACATTAGCCATCTCATACATCTAAAAGGTCTTATCAGGCAAGTCCAAGCCCTTGCTTATCTGCCTCTGCTGGTACCCTGTACTAAGTATATCATACACCTCATGTCTCCTTCATTCATGGTTCATATCAAAAATCCTTATCCTTATATTTGATTTTTAAGACATAATAAATCTTAAGTTTTGCCATTAAAGTTTAGCTAACATAGTACTATGTTGTTGATGTTTAATAGTGTCCGTTTGTGTCAGAGATAATGCCTATTTATTAATCTTTTGGAGTATTTCCTAAATCACTTAATTTCTGAATTCTTTAAGATTGTCTAATTAGCATGCTTAGCTGATTTCTGTTCCCATTTAATGGAGCACTGTGCATCATCTTTCTACTCACTGCTTTTTCATAGGCTCATGATCGCTCTGAAAGTGGAGAGCTGGCATTTATTAAGCAGCTGGTCCGGAAGATCCTAATTGTTATTGCCCGCCCTGCTCGGCTATTGGAGTGCTTGGTGAGTTGCCTTCAGATGTGACTACATTATTTATTGTTAAATATAGAAAGTAGCAACCATTAGAAGGCTCCAGTTTCATTTAACTTCAAGCACTAGTGCTAAATGGAAAGAGTCAGAAGGAGCTACAACTTGTGAATGTTTATGATGACATCCATATGTGGCTTGTCTTTTCTGATCTTGAGAAAGGATCCCAGTGTTGGTACTGTTATTAAGTGGTAGTCATATCATATTCTGGTCAAACTCAAAGGATGATCATGAAATGATGTGCCTGACCTTATTTCAGCATAATTACCTTATGTCTTAGCTCATTTTAAAGACTTGCTGTGCCTCATGTTTTGGAAGTTACTGAGATTCAGAGAGAAATATGCTAAATAATGACCAGTGGTTACAATTATTTGTTTTCAAAATGTATTATATTAGACATAAGTGCTAGTTGGCAACCATTTGAAAGAATATAATCCTCCAGATCTGGAGGAATGAGACTTTTAGAGATTAGCTCATTTTAGTGATTGTACCTTTTTGGTCAGTGATCATGTTCTTTCAAAATTTTGGGTTTATGATATTTTGATCAGAATTTCAATCAAAACTATAAAAAAAACTTGATATTGAGCATAAGAATTATTTAAGGAATTATTATTTAAGGGATTATCAATAGAGTATCGGAATTTACTTTTAAGTTCTGCTGCCTTCTAGAGTAGGCTCTTGCCGTGTGCAACAGCTTTCAGGATCACACGTGATATGTATATGTATATGGTCATGGGCGCCTTGTTTTTAATCTCTGTTTTAATTAACATTCATGATGTTTTATGATATGGAAGTATTCACAGTTCCATAAATATATACCAGTATCTGATGAGACACAGCAGGGGAGGTATTGAGAGTAAATCAAATCAAATCAAGCAGGGCATGGTGCACACCTAACGATCCCAGCTTGAGGAGGCTGAGGTGGGAGGATCACATGATTCCAGGAATTTGAGAGACTAGTCTAGGCAACACACTGAGACCCCAGCTCCAATAAATGAATGAATGAATAAATAAATAAATAAATAAATAAATAAATAAATAAATAAATAAATAAAAACATCAACTGCTTTTTTTTCTCAGTAGGCTCTAGGTCTTCAGTAGAACATAATGCCTTCAAAGTTAGATTACCAAGAAACTAGAAAACATCATTGTCATTAGGTTACCAACTGCACACATGCATTGCCTTAGAATAGGAATAGGCTTCAAATATGAAGTGAGAATTTTATACGTTTTAAAGGTATTTGCTTCCCTTTTCAGATATAACCTACAGCCATGTAGATTTTGTTGTGAACAAGACCATTTTGACTCAAAGAAATATTAACCTGGGCTTGTCTTCTGCCAGGAATTTGATCCTGAAGAATTTTACTACCTATTGGAAGCAGCAGAAGGCCATGCCAAAGAAGGCCAGGGCATTAAAACCGACATTCCCAGGTACATCATCAGCCAGCTGGGGCTCAATAAGGACCCTCTGGAAGGTGAGTGCAGCAAGCCTTTACTTCTGCGTTGGCTAACTCTATCTATGATTTGAAGGAAATAACCATAAGTTGAGTCCAGAGGAGGAAGTGAACATGTCCCAGGGATGCCAGCTAGAGTAGGGGGCTGGCCTTCCTGGATTACAGGCATGCCAGCACGAGAATGCTTGATGGCCCTTATATTTGGATTTCATCTGAGTCCCTGTTTTGCAATGTTCAGTTAGGTTCTTTTTGAGAGCACTTTTAATTTTCAAAACGTTACTAAAAAATTACTGTTCGTTAAAATTGACATTTAAATTTAATTTGGGAATCATGAATCTGACAGTAGATTCCTTTAATCTGAGTTCAGCATTTGATAGATGCATTTATTTGTCTCAAGAAAATATGAAAAAGTTATATGTAAAGAGACCCGAGGATAAATGAATGCTTCTTTTAAAGCTTATGTGAGGATTTATGGCCAATTCACATTGAGAAAGAAAGGTATAATTCTATTAAACACAGAGAATAAGAAGCATCCTGTAGTGACTTTTCAAAAATCTAATATTGGTATCCCCTCCTATCCTTTTCTGGTTCATTATCACTTAAGATTGTTAGGCTACATACTGCCGAAAAAGACTCATAAACAATCACTGACTCTCTCATTCAAAATTGTCTTCCTGGCTCATTAAAGTGAATTTGCAGACAGCGTTTACCCTGCTCAGTTGTTTGTGATGGAAGTAAATGTTGGCTCAGAGATGTTTCCATCCTTAGCCAGGGAGCCTGCTGCTCTCTGTCCTGCTCTTTCCTGCTCTCCCCGCTTTGTGTGCTTGTGCGGACATCATATCTTTGCTTCCAGTGAAATGATGCATGCATTACTGGGAGATAATGCCAGATAAATTTATACTGTACTGAAAGCAATACCACAACAGATTCATCACTTACAGAGAATGGTGGCTGCTTTTCTGAAAAGTTCCCTGGGGAGAGATTTTCCCCCATGGCTTTTAAATTACCATCTTTACCTTTTTGAATCATGAATCTTCAGAAATGGTTTAAATCAATGAAATAAAAAGGGCAGATGTTTAATGGTATTTAGATGAGTTTTAAAAATCTCTTCAGGCATTACAAAATGATGGCTTAGCTCCCTGCTTCAAAAGCTGACTCTGGGTTCCATCCCATTACTACCTACTGCTTACAAATAATATGGATTGCCCAGATAATAGTTATTTAGCTGAAATTCTATTTAAAACAGAACCATCTTTTAATTTGTTTTTTTTTTATGAAAATAATTGGAGAGGGGGAGACTGTCAAAGCATATTATAGTGAGTCTTCACGCCAGGATAGTTAAGGCTGGCGTCAGCCCTTACTTGTACACCAGTGAGCTCTGTGCAGTTTTCTTACTTGGCAGTAAATGTCACTGTAGGCAGAATTTTGGTATGTGAATAATCTGAGACCCATTTATATATCTCAATAGGTGCTTTAAAAATTAATAATGATCTTTGACGTGCTTGGAATTTAGTAATAGAAATTTATCACTAGGAGGTTTTTTTAACTCTTAATTTCTTGATTCATTCTGAGAATAATTTTTAATATATTGTTAATGCTTAACGTGTGACTCCTCCAGATAATTTATTAAAGGAGTGTAAACTCTGAGCTACCTTTGCTCTTCCCTTTCTTGTTAACATCAAAACTGACAAACCTAAAGCCTGTCTTTTGTTACACAGGAATGAGTTGTGGGCTGGGCTGCGACCTTGACCATGCAGTGCATAAGTCACTTTGTGGCCCAGTAAAGTCAAATTAAATAAAAATGGCAGAAGCGTAGACATCCATAGATGTCATGTCTATAGTTGGGTCAGGAAAACACTTGCTTATTAGATGTAAGCTTCTATTTATCTTTTAGTTATACAGTATTAAATATCTCATTCACTGAGAGCCTCTCAAACCAAGTATGTTTTAGTTTGTCTGAGTCTGTGCTTCTAAGGTACTAGTCACACTAGAAATTTGAATCATTTCAATGATACTAAGCAAGTATTTACATTAAATACATTTTTATCAGGAATTTCTCTTGTATCTAAAATGGGAAAGTTAATGTCACTGAGCAACTATTCAGAAACTGGAATTTATACATTTTTACCTAAAAGCAGCACTCTGCTGTGCTGTATTGCTTCCTATCTCTTATGAATAATCACTGGCCCCAAACGATGATTATTTTTATAAGAACATGAACATGTAAAATAAGAGTCTAAGCGGCTGAAGAGATGGCTCAGTGGTTAAAAGTCCTGGCTACTCTTGTAGAGGACCCAGGTTCAATTCCCAGCTCCCACATGGTGGCTAATAGCCATCTGTAATTCCAGTTCCAGGGGAATTTGATGCCCTCTTCTGACTCCACAGGCTTTGCATGACACAGGTGCACTTACACACATGCAGGCAATACACTCATACATATAAAATAAAAATAATAAATAAAATACTAAAAAAAGAAATAAGAGCCTAAGAAGCAATTTTAGGTGCATACAAAAAGTGTGGCTAAAACTATAATTCTTCACTGTACATGCTCAACTTTGAAAAATTAAAAAAATGCTTTTGAAGAAAATTTCTCATGTTTTTAACAAAACATATACATGAAAAAATGGTATGAAAATAAGCAGGAAGTGAATTAGATTTTCTCCTTAATTTATATATGCTCAAAGTTGCTTTCCAAACCCTAATTTGAACAAGGAGCGATGAGATGCCTCAACATTTTTAACTAAACCACCAGGGAAGTACTTAAGTTGGTGTCAAGCATGTGGCATCCAGCCCAAAATTGACTTCTTTATACAATATAAGTAATAAATAACAACCAACATTTAATGAGTACTTAATTTTTATTAGTGAATATGCTAAGAGCTCATGTATAATACTTATAAAAGCTCTGAGACATAATACTGTTCACACCCTATAGGAGAAGAGCCTGAAGTTAGAAAATCACTCTGTTGGTAAATGAAAACCCAAGGTTTTTCATCCCCAGTCCCATGGTACCACCACCATTATTGCCTGGGATAAACTGCCCATTCTTTACTGCCCTTGGCGGAATCTTTCTCAGGGGATAAAAAGGAACAGAGGAAGGTCTTAATGAAAGGAACACTCCCTGTAAGCTGAGAATCATTTCCAACTTATAGTCAATGCACCTTTGCTGTGAGCCTGGACAGACTCACCCCTCTGGGATTAAAAACCAAGCTGCTATCTCACCCAGCCTTTTACAAAGTAGAATACATGCATTAGCCAGTGAATGGTGCTCACTGAAGCAGAGACCTATTCTCCATAGTTCCTAGATCTGGGTATTTATGAAGATAGGGAGTCCAGGGGAGGATGTCATTAGAACAAGTTCAGATTACCAGCTGCCGATTCCTGACTTTTTGGCTCTAAGATGGGCACACTGGTATATAGACTGAAAATTTCTTTCTTTTTCTTTTTAAAAAAATAATGTAGAACTAAGTTTTTTCTTTTGTGTTTGGCTTAGTCCTCTTGTATAATGTCAATATTTTTCTGAACCTTTATGTTTTTAAATTTAGAAATGGCTCAGTTGGGCAACTATGATAGTGGGACAGCAGAAACACCAGAGACGGATGACTCAGTGAGTGTGAGTATCTTCGCTGATGAAATACCGTGTTGGCTTTTCTGTTTCTTAGCATCTGGAGATTTTTAACTATGTTAATTACTTTATCCCACAAAATTGTATTGTGTTTCTCTGGGAAAGGCATGAAACATAGAATTTTAGTGCCTTACCCCTAGGAGAAGCAGAAATTTACAAAAAAGACATCATCCACCAAAAATAGTAACTGTGAGCTCGAGTAGGATCTATGCAGAGAAGAAGACCTTGAGCTACCAGAACATTTCATAGAGATTTGCTTAGTTGACCAGTTCCAGAAGATTTCCCAAGGCATGGCCATTGAGTTGAAATGGGGAAAGTGCTCAGGCTGTGAAGGGACAGAGGAGCAGTTCAGATGTAAGGTGAATTAGAGAGCTAAAAGCAGAGGAGACCACAGAGATGGAGAGCGTGGAGGAAGCCCGGCCTACTCACATTTGTCAGGTTGTCTCCTTTTGAAGGCAGCGATGAGCATCTGAGCTTTGGAGCAGAGTATAGGTATGGGAGAGGAAGGGCTAAACAGGGAGATGACCTGAGCAGAATCATGTCTTAAAGAGCAGCTGGGATGCAGGGAACAGGCCGGGTAGCACTGGGAGGTCAGCTAAAGGCAGGGGCAGAGCACAGTCCAGATGGTATGCTTGCTGAGGCCATTCTCCTAAGTAGTGAGCACCATTACAGAAACCAGCAGAAGGTCAAGTTCTCAAGAAGGTAGGAGTATGTTTTGTAGTCTGGGGGCCTGCGGGCTGAGAGCTCAGGTTCTAGATTCAGATTCCCTGTTTTTGAAAACTGGCTCTACCTCTTACAAAATGTGTATGTGAGTCAGTGGGGTTGGTGGTGGGGTCTCTTTGAGCCACAGTTTCTCCATCTGTAAAATAGAAACAAGAAGTTATAAAAGGTAAATTCTGTAATTCTATGTACAGTGATTTGGAAGGTATCCCATAATAAGTGCTAAATAAATGATAGTTAACATGTTAATTTTATTATCATAACTATTATAGTTTGGGATGTGTTGAGACTTTAGTTCCTTTGAAACATTCAAGAACCATCAAACTGACAATTGTGTATCTGTAATATTTGGGCATTTGGAGGATGAGTTTCTGGTGGAAGTCTGAGAGACTTAGGCATCATCAGTGACATACAGGAAACCATTACCTAGAGAGGAGTTAATGAGACAAGTCAACCTGTGCAAAGCAAGCAAATGGTCCCCCTCACTTGAATTGTTCCCAGTGGTGAAGCCTAGGCAGGTATTAATAAAATTCAGATCCTTTGGTTAGAGGTCAAGGGAAAATAGGGGAGAGAAATGGCTATTTGAATTGAGGAGGTAAAGTGCTCTGAGGTTGGTTGTGACCTATGTAGACATCATAGTCACTCAGGATGGGGGAAGAACTAAAGCACAGAGGAAGCTGAGAGCCTGGCTTGTAGGTCTGAGGAAGAGCAGAAGGATCAGGGAGAGATGGCAGCCCTGATCGGAGAGATATGTGTACACCTCAGCATCGTGGAGTCTTCCAAAATGATGGGAAGGGAATTCTGTGTGGAGGGAGCAAAGCAGCTGTTTTACACCCTCACAGCTGAGATAAATGGGGATGAGAGGATATTATTGAAAGCACTGAGTTTGTTCCTGTCCTTTGAGCTAAACTTCTTAGAAAGCTGTCATTTAGAATTTGCGTACTTAAAGCATAGTAAGATATCTGATATTAGAGGTAAATTCAGGCAGGCATTCCACACCTAAGTAGTTTGTGACCTACCATCTGTAGATTGCCACAGAATGAAATAGACATGCTCTGGTCAGGGACCAAGAGCCATAACATCCCCCAACCCCAGCGATGACTGTTCCAACCCAATTCTTTTCTGATTGACTAAAAGCAAAGGGAAGGTTTGGCATTTTAGACTCACTTACTATTAAAGTGCTACAGGGCTAGGATGAAGCCAACTTGAGTAATTTACATAGAGAAATAAAAGGGAGTTTTCAAAAATCTTTGTGCCTATATCTCTTGGCAACCTAGATTTGCTTAAACACAGCTAATGGAAAGCCCCTAGGAGCTTCAGTCCTGCTGGGGCAGGTAGATCTGTGGAGCTGATCCTGGATCCTCTAGCTGGAACACTGTGCCGCAGCAGATTAAACAGCATAGCATTAATTCACACCTTGTCTGTTTTGATATTATAGTAATTTTCTCAAATTAAGAACTATTTTTAACATTCATATTTTGTTCCCCAGAGCTCTAATACTTCCCTGAAACTTCGAAGGAAACCTCGAGAAAGTGATTTTGAAACGATTAAATTGATCAGCAATGGAGCATATGGGTGAGTAATTCAAGAAATGCGCTCTTTTATATTGTTAACACACCTGAGCAAGGTTTTTAGTTTCCAGTCTTAATTGTGCTAAGTAGCTGTTCTGTAGGGACTGGTGGTTTAGATGGCTACTTCTTCTCCATGAGTGTGAAGGGCAGCCAGTGTCACTACTTACTAAATGCCCAACAGAAAGTACAGTAGGTGACTCAGGGGTTTTTAGAAGATTAGAGACAAAGACTATAGAATCAAAGGAAAATTTTGTGTATTTTTGTTTCTACGACCTAATCTGTGCTTTTGGGTTCAGAAATACCTGGGTCTTGGTTGAGATACATATTCTGTATTATATAAAAATGTTTATATACACATGTGACTTCATATATACATTGTTACTGGGTCTTTAGTCTGTATCTCCTCTCTGTGTGAGAGAAAAGCACTTAAGTAAAGTTGTTTGAAAATTCAGAGCAATGTATTTCTGATAGTCTTTATATTATACCATGATTTATTAAATTTAATGTTATCCTATAATCTAATCACATTACTGGCATTTCCTTTCTCGATTCTTTTTTTTTTTTTTTCTTTAAGGAAGAGAGTTATTTTCTAGATTTATACAAATGCCTTCAAATAACACATTTTAGGCTTTTAGTGGGCACTAAATTCTCGTTTTTTTTTTTCTTTTTCCTTTTATTAATATACCTTTTTATAATAAACAAAAGGTCACATTCTTTCAAGTTTTTTTTTTTTTTTTTTTTGGAATAGGACCTCATGTAGCCCAGGTTGACATTGAACTGAGTTATTTTCTAGATTTATACAAATGCCTTCAAATAACACATTTTAGGCTTTTAGTGGGCACTAAATTCCTGTTTTTTTTTTTCTTTTTCCTTTTATTAATATACCTTTTTATAATAAACAAAAGGTCACATTCTTTCAAGTTTTTTTTTTTTTTTTTTTTGGAATAGGACCTCATGTAGCCCAGGTTGACATTGAACTCACTGTGTAGCTGAGGATGACCTTGAACTCATCATTTCCTACCTCTGTCTTCTGAGTGCTGGAATTAGAGGCATGTGTCATGAGTGTTCAGTTTTTATTTAGTGTTTTATTATTTGTTGATATATTGCACACACTTAAGTGATACGCTAAAATTTCAATGTATGTATAATGGTGAAGTCAGAGACATTTATCATTTCTTTGTGTTGGGAACCTTTGAATTCCTTTTGTCTCATTCCTTGATCCATTTCAGAGGCATAGAGTGACAAGAGCTTTCTGAGTTACCAATAAATAGTTTGGAAGGACAATTAATGTACAAACTATGACCTAATTCATTTTAGACTGCCCAAGAATTCTAGCTTAATTAAGTATTAATCCCAATCCCATCTGTATTCAGAGAGCAATAAATAACCCCAGAGACATTTACTGCCATCTCTCAAACACAGGGCCAGATGAGACATAGCGATTTCTATCGTGCCACAAGGGATGTTTCTACTTACTTTTTTTTTTTTTCACCTCTAATATTTTCCACACTGCTAACCTAGCAAAGAACTTCCGTATTTGTGAGTCCTCTATGCTTCACTGATTGGTTTTCAGGAGGATGTCAAGTGGCATATTACCTGATGTGGCTCGTAAACACTTTTGGATGTTTTCTTTTTATGATATTTGGTTTCCTCATTGGATGTTTTGTAGCATGCCATTATTTGTGCCTTTTGTGCTTATTACTACTTGCTTTGTAGTCGTTTCTGGCGAGGACCCCAGGAGGTCTGTCTTAGGAAGAAGTCAGCAGGTTGAGTTCATGGGCAGAGTTCAAGCCCTCCTCAGTTCTGTGCAGTGGAATGAGCTCTGGAGTAAGATGCTGTAGGAAGCACCACTTTTGTAAGTCTTGGGCGTATATCTTAACAGGATCTGGAGTTCTAATTGGTTGAGTAAACTCATTTGTAGAGCAATTAAACCACTGTATAGTAGATGAGGTATATCACACTTTGGGGAATGGTTGGGAATATACAAGAAGTTAAACAAGCTGTGAATCAGTAAACACCCAGGATGCAGGCCAAGTCATTAATGGGCTCACAAGCTGCCTCTGCTGAGCAGCCAGAACGATTTTTTTTCCTCTTCTGCTCTTCTCAGATGTAATCTCTCATTACATTTCTGACAGATTTCCTCTCTATTTGAATTATTTTTAATTTGAAATTTGAATAGAGCTACCTCTATCAGTTTTACCCAGCCATGATGCTATCTGCAGGCTAGCTGAACAAATAGACCCTTAGATGGGTAGAGGATCTGGACTCTTCTGCTCCCTTAGGTATCTGTGTAACAGGGTGGCACCACTTATATCAGTGGCTCAGAGAGCCTCAGATTCTGTGGCTTCATAGATGCTGGTGGTGCTGGGAACTAAGCCTCTCTTTAGGAAAGCCCTGTCATCATCGTAAGACTTACAGAATTGTCTCGTTATAATTGCTGACCATTCATGTGATAATGCCAATTTGATTGGCTCCTGCTGGAAGTTAGACTCCTCTCTAGGCTAACATAGCATCTTCAGAAGGCTGAAGCTAGTGTCTCCGTACTGTCTTGATCTCTGTCTATGTTCTCACCTCTCAATAGCCTTGGGTAGGGTTCACACTATTTTCACTTGTTGGCGGAGAAGGAGGACCTCAGGTACATAGATCCTCTGGTTCCACGCAGAGCTCTCCTCTTCCCACAAATGTCCTTTAATTAAAATATTTTGCTATCTCAATTAATGTATAAGGATCTGACTTCTTTTGAACACTGCCTGAATTTTTAAGTCATAACTTCAGGCAGTTTAAAGAGAAAGAATGGTATTGGGTTTTTTGTCGGGTGGTAGAATGGGTCAAGACAGGGTCTTCTATACCCCAGACTTTTCTAAAATTTGTTATATAGTCCAAGCCAGCTTTGACCTCCTGATCCTCTTGCCTCAGCTTCCCAAGTGCTGAGATTACAGGTGTGCACCACTATACCCACTTAAAAAGTAATGTTGACTCTGAATTAAGACACTATATCTGAAAGCTGTATTTCTCCCTCATTTTGCTTCTGTTTCTAACCTTAAGGCACATTATTTTCTCACCCCTCAAGGGCCCAGAGACATTTTCTAGGGAGACCCATGAGTGCAAGCTGATGCCTACACCATTGCCGATCTCCTTTCTTTTCTAATTTCTACTGACACTGTGGATTTGCTGGTCCACATTTGTGTACTGAGCTCTCAGAGCCTCATAATTTCATATGCATTAGAGTCACATTTCCAATAGAACAGATTCACTGGGCTTCGGAGTTCCTTCCCATTGGCCTTACTTTACTCTTGCATGTGAGAGATGCCTAGCTCCCAGAGAACAAGATTCCTTGGGTGTCCTTCCTTCCATCGTACCACTTCCCACTCTTGGACTTTTCTGTCCCACAGAAAGATCAGTGGAGGAGTAAACAGAGGATCCTTTTCCAACAAAACAGCACCGGGGACCAGAAAACAAGGAAATAGGAAGCCTTACCAGTCCACTGCAGTGTTGGGACATTGGGAAGTTTACAGTATATTCAGCAGTGTTAGTTGACCGTTAGCTGCTGTGCAGCTCTTTTAATCTCTTGCTCTCTAATGATTTAAATAGGTCTAAAACATTGCCTTATAGGAAAGGAAGAAAGATATGCCCAACAGACACAACTATTGCTAAAAAAGTTTTACTGTGAAGACTAATACTCCAAAAGCTATACAAAAATGTAAGAGGCCAAGAACAAAACAAAGCAGAGGCTGAGGGTGTAGCTCAGTGGTAGAGCACTTGCCTGAAATGTACAAGGCACTGTATTTAATGACCTACGTGGTTGAACTCCCATCCGAAAAGCATTCAGGAGCAGCAAACCCCAATTTAGAAGTCTATTCTTCTTCTGTAACTTGATCAAAATAGCCAGTATGCCCTGAGGCAGGGATTTCTTAAGCCACCTATAGGATTAGCTTCAATTGCTTTAGGTCAGTTTCTCTAAGGATTAACTGATTATGTTAACTGCATTATAGCAAATGAAAGCAGAAAATCAAATCAAAATTTAAAAACAGAAAATATGAGGTTACAGATTGAAGCCATTTAAAAATTTTCTATTTAAAAAAATCAACAAATTTTTAAAAATGAATTATATTTGAGGAGGAAGCATAAAAATTTACATCATGTTAATTGAGGTGATGAACATTACCATTGAAATCTACCTGATGACTTTATAGACATGCACAGGTGCCAAGGATCTGAGTGCAACCAATTATGACTAGTAATAACCAGATACATACACATGAGAGATGCATGTGCCAACATCTCAGTGTTAGCAAAAACGAGTCTTTCTGTAAGAAACAGTATATTTTAAAATGAAATGGAAATCTTTTTTAAAGGTTAAAAACTCTTTCAATTTTATGTCTTACAGGGCTTATACTGAGTTCAATATTGTATAACTGTATTAATTCAATAGCGAACCTAAACATTTCATAGCCACTTTTGAAAGAGCTGTATCTTTGCTCTGGAAACTGTTATTGAGTATGTTAAAGCTGTAATGAAATGCTTCTTCTTCTAAAAAAAGTTAAAATTTTTTTCTATTTATGTATATGAGTATTTTGCCTGCATGTATGTAAATGCACCCATGTCATACAATGTCCAAGGAGGTCAGAGGAGGCCATCAGATCTCCTGGACCTGGAGTTTCAGATGGTTTTTAGCCACCATATGAATGCTTGGAGTTGAACCCGGGTGCTCTGCAGGAGCAGCCAGTGCTCTCAACCACTTCAGCCATCTCTCCATTTTTAAACAGTACTGCAGAAACCAGTCATGATGCTGATCAAATTGGGCTGGAGGCATCTTTTTTATGAATTCCTTAATAAAATCTTGTACAATTCTGTTCTTCCTCCACCATTTATTGTTCCTGCAGAGTATTACAGAGCCATTCTTTATGGAAGAATTAGTGACACTTGATTGAAAGTCTAAGTGTCAACCTTGTGATAGTCAAAGTATGAAATTCAGAATATAGACTTTTAAGGGTCCTTGGCACAAACTTAGTGTGAAATATGGAAAGTAGAACTGAAAAAGCAAGTTTTAGTCCTGCTGACTCTTACGAATAAGTGAACAATTAAAGAAAGGTATCTTTTTCTTATCAAATTTTGAGTTCTTAAAAAAAATACATTCCTGTTTGAGAAATCCTTTCAATGCAATTATTTGCTTACCAATGTGTGTCCTATATTTTGGAGATGGCCAAGTTATTTTCTGTATTCCTTTGTGAGCTGTCTCCATATCCTGTCACCATCTGATTAGAAGCAGCTTTCAATATCTCTTGACTTAAAATTTTTTTATCCTATGGACCAGAGAAGATGGCTTAGTGGTTAAGAGCACTGACTACTCTTGTAGAGGACTTGGAATCAATTCCCAGCATCTACACAGTGGTTAACAACTGCCTGTAACTCCAGTGTGAGGGAATCAGACACCCTCTTCTGACCTCTGTGGGCATTGCACATAGGCAGGCAATACATTCATTCACATAAAATAAAAATAATATTTTAAAAAAGTATCTTAATCAGTGATTTTAAAAATAAAAATGCAATGAAATCATTAAAACCATACAAAAATAACTACTAGTTAGTTAGTTTAATAGTGGGTCAAAATACTAAATCTTTATAAAATACATGTTTCTTAAACATCTAGCATTAATCTACTTATATATAAATGTGCTGGTCTTTATAATAAGGCATTTGAAGATAGTCAACAGGTGCCATATAGTCAACAGGCATGATGTGTGGTTTCTGTTTTCCAAATTTAGCTGCTTTAGAGGTAAAGCAGAAACCCACAGCAATCGGAATGTGGGCCCCTAAATTTTTATGAATTTTTTTCAACTTTTGGAAAGTTCATTCCCACTAAACCAATAGGAATTTTATTCAGTAATTTACATCAATTGAAACGTTCCAACATTTATAACCAAGATTCTTATTTCCACACTGAAACTACATTGGTTTATTGGTTACTTTTCTCATTGCTATGATCATTATCTGATCAGGGCAGGAATCTGGAGGCACAGGCCATGGAGGAATGCTGCTTACAATGGCTTGACTTGCCTATGCTCAGCCTGCTTTCTTATACAATACGGAACAACTTGCCTAGGGGTAGCACTGTCCACAGTGGGCTGAGTTCTCCCACATCACTCAGAAATCAAGATATCCCACAGACATGGCCACAGGCCAAGCCAATGGAGGCAATTCCCCAGTTGAGGCTCCCTCTACCCAGTGTGTTAAGATGACAGCTAAAGCTACCCAGCACAGTTGCCTAACTGGTTGATTCTCACATGGCTTTGTTTTTCAGAGAGAATGACAGTACCAAGCTACTCAGTTATTTTGAGGAGTATGGTGAAGAGAAATTTGTATAATATAGTGAATAAAAAACTAGAAAACTAAAGAAATGAAAGGGAGGGGGAAGGAGCAAAACCAAAAATAAGGGACAAAAAGAAGAATGTGTGACTGTAAGCAAATGAAGGAGATGGATAAGATGAAAACATAAAAACATATGTACTTGAAAAAGAACACAATTTCTAGCTGACCACTTAGCTGAAAAATGTTAATATTGATTATACCAGACTTGATGTTAGCAGTCACCCTGGCTTGTTCCTTCATCACGAGCGAAGTATCCCAGCCTCCCTTGCAGTCACTGATTGTTCAGGGACACCAAGATAACTAATGGAAAACACATCTAGGATCACATAACTCCTTGTTTAGAAGGCATGCTGTGAGATATATTCACTGTGATGCATGCTTTTTAAAGTAAATTATTACTTATTTGATCAATGCCTTTGGTTGCAGGACAGCATATGCAACCCATTACATACTTCTGAAGTTTAATGACCCTTTAAGCAATTATTTCTTTGATCATTGCCTTCTTTTTGAGATAACAAGCCAGGAGTGACTTGGAGGAAGAGGAACTGTTCAGGGCCTATCTTGCTTGCCCAGTTCCTACTGGATTTTTAAGAACTTCTGCTCCTTGAGTATTCCTTCTGCTCCCTTGAGTATTCCTTCTCCACATCATCCTAAGTTTTAGGGGGCTCTCTGTCTTTCTTCAGAGAGTATCTGGGTGAGGCCATAGGCAGAGACTGAATATGGCCTGTTCCAGTCATTTTATACTATTGAGTTGCTTCTCACCTTAGTCAGGTGCTGGAGGAAGCAGAAATTTGGCTCCTTGGCTGACCCCCCCTTCCCATTATATCAAGAAATGCATTTCGTGTTGGACAGTTTAGAGTGCATATGAAGTCTGCAGCCAGGAAATATGGTCTTCTTTGTTGCTGAACATTATCATACAGCCTCTTATGCACCTCTCATTTATCTGGAAATTCCATGGGAAGTCATTACTCTCAATTGGAAACCAGATCCTCTAAGAAGCTGTGGTCCTCTTTGCAGATCCCTAGGGTATCATTTAGAAAATTATTGCTTTAGTCAGTCAAGAAAACGTGCTTAACACATGTCTAATGCTAGGAAGAATCTAGCTCGTGATCTGTATGTAATTTTGTAATTCTTCCCAGTTCTGACTTATATATTGGATTTTGTTTTGTTTGTGGAGAAACTGAAAAATCAGCTAGCGCTCAGGAAATAGCTCATTCTGGGGACTGTCTTTTTTTTTTTTTTTAAAGCAGTGAAGGCAAATTTGATGCTTTATGTATGATCTTTGTTGAAAGGCTTTTTAAAAAATTCTATCTAGGGGCTGGAGAGATGGCTCAGTTGTTAAGGGCTCTGACTGCTCTTGCAGAGGACCAGGGTTTGATTCCCAACACCCACATGGTGGCTATGAACTGTCCCTAACTCCAGCTCCAGGGGAATCTGAAGCCCTCTTTTGACCTCCGCAGCATTGCATGACACAGGCACACTCACATACATGCAGGCAATACACTCATACGCATAAAACAAAAATAATAAATAAAATATATATTTTTAAAAAGTCAATCTAGCCAAAAGACTTTGGCCTGGATGGAGATGTTTAGCTGAGTTCCAGCTGATGTATAAACTTACAAAATGTGGATGCTGTGTAGTTTACTGTAGCCTCCAAACATCCTCATTTTCTCTCTTCCTGTGAACCCCAATACTTGTGCTCCTTTTCAGGGCAGTCTACTTTGTTCGGCATAAAGAATCCCGGCAGAGGTTTGCCATGAAGAAGATCAATAAACAGAACCTCATCCTTCGGAACCAGATCCAGCAGGCCTTTGTGGAACGCGATATCCTGACTTTTGCAGAAAACCCGTTTGTGGTCAGCATGTATTGTTCCTTTGAAACAAGGCGTCATTTGTGCATGGTGATGGAATATGTGGAAGGTAAACATGTCTCAGACACAGAGAACATGGTACCTATAGTCAGAAATTATTCATTTGTGTCGCTGAAGCTGTGTTTGTGCCACATAACGGCTATATCCACCAAAGCCAGGCAATGAGATGGCTGCATTCCCAGTCATTATCTGCTGATAATTGCTTGTAAAATGCCCATTCTACTATAACGAAGGGAAAATTAGTGCTGTTTGGAAAAGGTTGTTTTCTTTTTTTAATAGCTTTTAATTCTACCTCCCTCCCTTCAATTGGTCATTAGAGTTGGAATGTGGGTGATAGGATTTTTTTTCTTCTTGCCAGCATCACATCATAAAAAATGTTCATTATAATTAGTCTTCTCAAAAACCGAATTTGAAATATATCCTTTTTAGCCTATGGTAGGAAATTAAGAGTCTAGTCAGTTTTTTCCATTTTCACTCCCCCCCTCCTCCTCCTTCCTCCTTCTCCTCTTTTTTTTTTTTTTTTTAAGAGTCTCTCCCAATATAACCAAGCTAGCCTCAAACCTTATAATTCTTCTGCTTCAGACTCCTGAAAGGATCACAGGCATGCATGACCACGCCCAGCCCTTTTTCTCTTCTGTTTAGAGCTGTCTGTGGTATACACTTCAAATGTTCCAAGTAATCTTATCTCTATATTTTTCTGTTAAATTACTGAGGTTTTTTATGTCTCTGACATGTTGACATAAAATTAATAAAATTGAGTAGATCAGCAAAGGTAAAGACCATTTTTTTAAAAATCCTGTTTAGGCTCTTGTCCTTGTTTGGATAGAATCTTTAAGAAGTAGTAAAAATCCTGTGCTTAAACCTTTTCCATTCTGTAGATAAATGAACTGAAGGGCAAGAAAAGGTGATTTATAGTAGGAACTGAGTGGTAGACTGAGCTAGTAGCAGTCTGCCTGGTCTCCAACCACTGCTCTACCATATCAGTAATTTGCTTTCTTAACCATTGTGTCATTTTTACGTTAATGTTTATCATGTTTGATATATATTGGGCTATAGTCCCACTTTAGGCAGAATGAATACTGACAATAATCCTCTAAAGGATGACATCACAACTAAAGCAATATTACCAATGAAGTATATAACCAAGATCACCAAATTCCTTTGCCTAAGAGCTCTCAGTCTCTAAGAGACAGATTCCAAGTCAGCAGTCTAATTCTAGCATCTGTGCTTTACACTGGTACATTACAAATTAGTAGTAGCATCCTAAAATTGATAGTGGTTCTTTAAAGTACAGTTCACTTCAGAGTCAAATCTGCTTTCTTCACTCCACATCTTAATTAGAAACATGATTACTTAACACAGTCTCCACTTATGAATATGATGTGAGTATGATTTAGCTTTGAAATTCTGCCATCTAAACTGTTGGTCTTCCTCAATGCTAGCTGATACTGTTCCTACTAAATTTGCTTCCTATGTTTTGCAGGGGGAGACTGTGCAACCTTAATGAAAAACATGGGTCCTCTCCCTGTTGATATGGCCAGGATGTACTTTGCCGAGACTGTCCTAGCCTTGGAGTATCTGCATAATTATGGAATTGTACACAGAGATTTGAAGCCAGACAAGTATGTATATGTAACACTGGTGAAACATGTCTTCTTTTCTAGAATCCTGAACATTTTCTACAGTCTGTGAAAGGTTTTTAATGTTATTTGCACATTTAAAATTCTCCATAATGTAAAAAAGTGAGTTACTTTAATAGTAACTTAATGGTAATTTTTACACAATTCTTTAAAGACCATTATGCCTACAATAAGAACTTAGGAGAAGTAGGGAAAGAAAATGACACTAATGCTAGAGTTAATCTCCTTGTCATGTAAAGCTTTGAGTAGTAATGTGGAATAGTACTAGCAGTTTTCTGGGTCCTTTTTACATGGCATCATCCTGAGATGATTCTTGCCTCCCTGCCTCGTTCTCCATACTTTGCTCACGTGTTTGCAGTTCTTGTGGAGTTCATGGTGGTCTTGGATTTGAGACATGGATAGAATGTTTTCCCCAAATGACTAGCTATTCATCTTGACACTCTTTAAGGAATATTTCATACTTTCTCCACTAATGTGTGATGCTGCTAAAAATACTATATGTTAATATGTAAAGATTTTAAGTGCGTTGAAAACTGCATGATGAAATTAACTCATGCTCATTCCAGAAAATTTGAAAAACACAAGAAAAAGAGCTAATTTCATCTCCAGTATCACCTAAGACAACTATTAGAATTTTGTTCTATTTCCTTCTGGTAGCTTTTAAAAATCTTCTATTACATCTACTACTTTAACTTTTTAATTGCTATATGAGCTATTTTTGACTTAAAATGAAATATTTTAATGTATTCAAATGCAAATTGTTTGTATATATAAATCCAAGCTTTCTGCCTAATGAATAGAAATTTAAATCAGAGATAGAAGTTAGAATATGAAACAGTGCTCTTTTCTGCCCAGGTTCTTTTATTTGTGTCTCATTTTATTTTATTTATTTGTTTGTTTGTTTGTTTATTGTTTTTTGTTGTTTTGAGACAGGGTATTCCTGTAGCCCCAGCTGTCCTGGAACTTGCTAAGTAGCCCAGGCTTGCCAGGATCTCAGAGATCCACCAGTCCCAAGTGCTAGGATTAAAGGCATGCACCACCATGTCCAATTTTGTGTCTCATTTTTCATTTTAGTCACAGCTGAATTTCTTAATTCCTGATGTATGTCATGCAATTATTGGTTGTCCTTTCTTCTCTGTTTTCTTATTCTGAAAATAGAAAGGAGGGGCTGGACAAATGGCTCAGGGGTTAAGAATGAAGTGCTTCCCTTCATGGTTGAAGTACAACCCATGTTCAGATCCCAGCACCCACTTTGGGTGGCTCACAACCACCTGTACTTTCAGCTCCAAGGGATTCAATGCCTTCTTTTGGATCTCAGTTACCTGCATTCACACATTCCTATAGGACACATGCACATACACACAATTTTTAAAAATAACAAAATAAATATGAAAAGGAAAGGAATCAGAGTTCCATATTTAAATTTTTCCAGAGTTTGATTGTTGCCAAAATGTTACTGTATATAGTTGTCCCAACAAAGAATAGCTGAGCTTTGCCTCTGACTCTCTTTTGTGAACTATACTCAGCTGTCAAATGCAAGAACTTGCTATCTTTGTGTGTCTTCCTCTTTTGCCAGGCTACATTTCATTTTGTACTTTTGTTTATGCATCACAAACTAATGGGGGAAGGAGGGAACCTAAAACAGGAATTAGCTTCAAAGTAACTGTTGCTCTCTGTGTCCTTCTGTTTCGTAGCTTGTTGGTAACCTCCATGGGGCACATAAAGCTGACAGATTTTGGATTATCTAAGGTGGGACTAATGAGCATGACTACCAATCTTTATGAAGGTCATATCGAGAAGGATGCCCGAGAGTTCCTGGATAAACAGGTAAGCTTGGATACTGCTCTACTCTACGGAGAAATACAAAGTTCGGTATTGCCAATGAAATTCAGGATCCACTTGTGTAGGCCATCTTCACATTAGTGCTGGTGTTTAGATGTCTATATAAGCCTTGAATTTAATAAAGTGCAAATTGCTTCCATTTGTCTCCCTGGACCTCTTTGAACTGTCCACTCCCTCCATATTCCTCCCCTAGCATTATGGTCTATTAGCAAGATGAACGGTCTAATTGCACACAAGTGAGAGTGTGAGAGAGACAAATGGAAAACTGTTTTTGTAAGGAATTCAGGAGTCTCAGTAGAGTACTCGTGAAACTCATGATGCATTGCACAATCTCGGGTGCTAAAATCCGAGCTATGGCCCATTTCCTTTTAAGCATGCCTCATTACCATGTGCCCACAATCTGTTCATTGCAAAGTTACTTAAGGTAAAACCTATCTCAACTGCTATGCCTTCATGAAGTAACCAGGGTAAGGATCAGATTGGTCACATAAATATCAAACTTTCTGTAATCATAACCAGGGTAAGGATCAGATTGGTCACATAAATATCAAACTTTCTGTAATCGTGACAGATTAAAAATGCATTATTATTTTCAATGTAAGGCTACAGATGGTTTTCGTATTGTAAAATAAAGCTACAAACAGGTCAGCTTCTCAATTCAAAACTAAGCATTACAGATATGCCAGCTTCTTTGGCATTATAATTTCTCTTCTCAAGGTCTTTGTCCTTGTGGTTTCTTATAGGTGAGCAGGTGCATTGAAGGCAGAATAATTGTTTTAGTCATCTTGCTCATTTTAATTCATGTCTAATTCTCCAATTATTCTAATATTGCAATTATGTTTTAGGTCTGTGGTACACCTGAATACATTGCCCCCGAGGTGATTCTGAGACAGGGCTATGGAAAGCCTGTGGACTGGTGGGCCATGGGCATTATCCTCTATGAATTTCTGGTTGGATGCGTGCCATTCTTTGGGGACACTCCAGAAGAGCTATTTGGTCAAGTCATTAGTGGTAAATATCATCAGGAGTTATATTTAAGCCACTATTGGGAAACAGCTATTTAAAGTAAATCTGTTGTGTATTACTAAAAATGTTAACCTTTATCAAATACTGGAGCCAACAAATTAAAACAACTCACTCCTCATAACATATAACTGACTTTCACACTCTCTAGAGAGTAATGTGTGTTGAAATTGATCTGAGGAAGTTTTGTTAACATGGAATTTGGAAAGGGACTGGTGATGTATCCAAGTTGATTGTATACTACTTTCTCCAGAAGAAATTGGCATGGGATTTACAAATGCTTTAATTGTTATCAGTCTCCATTTTCATAGTGGGGAAAGTTGCACCAGGGAAGAAAAGGTTAATGGATAACATTTACATGAATAAGAAAAATGGCTAATGGCACAATGAAGAAATTAGCAAAAATGTAATAAACCTAAAACAAATGTCTACCAAATAATAAATAATGAGAATGGGAAGGAAGCAAATTGAATCCACAGATTGTTAATGATTTCATTGGTAGCTGTGACGGTGTAATGTTATTTCTGTAGCAGCTGTTCATCTTTCATTTAAAATTCAATAACCTTTAGATCTTAACCTGCACACTGACCCTAACTATTGATATGCGGCAAGTAACACACCTAAATGATAATTACATCGGAGCCATGGCTACTCTCCCTGATGATGTTATAAATTTTCCCAAGCATAGACAGGGAAAGGGAATCTCTACCTGAAAGGTTGACAGTTCTCACTGACATCTCCATCAGCTACCCCTGCTCCATTCTGGACTGCACTTATGCCAGCCAACGATGGATAGAGATAGGAGCAAGTTTCATTGTGCGCATGAAGAGCCCTTAATCGTACTATTATTTTCTAACATTGGCTTTGCAAGCCAGGCATATTTGTAAACTTTAACAAAGTAGATTTGTTGAACTGCCTGCAGTGTAAAAGCCCTTTATACAATATCTGAGCCGTTTATGGATTTATAACTAGGCTATTTTCTGACAGACCAAGGCCTGAATGGCAAGGGGAATCAACTGTTTAATTAACACAAGCAGCAAATGCTGGCTTTGTTCTTGATGCCTTACGGCTCTGATGCATATTCATGTTTTATTTTCCAAATCAGATTTAAACTGCAGCAGAGGAAGCTAGAGGCAAGCACACACAGAAATAACTCATGTTTTTATTGCATTTCCATACACACGAGCACACACACCTATCTTCAGGCAATCTCCTTCAGAGTGAGAACATAGTCTAAGATTTAGGACAGATTTTAAATGTTCCCATTACTATTATTAGTTTGGTTAGTTCTCTTCTTCAGTCTTAGCATTTGGGGCTTAACTTTGTTTCTAGAAATAGCTAGTTTTTTTTTTTTTTTTTTTTAAAAACTACCTTTTACTCATTGGAGCTAAAGAACTTGGTGGCAATTGCCAGATTCTCAGTTGAGACTAGTAAGTGAGAAAACCTTACACTTAGATGGTCCCCCAGTGCATAGGCATTTGGCATAGAGCTGTTCTGTTTCTGGTATGTTAAATCCTCTTAATAACCAGAAGGAGCAACTTATTAGGAAACAATTCTGTCAAAGAAAAAAAGAATAAATGAAGTAATGATATGTGCTACTTATTGAAATTTTCTCCTCATACCTTGAAGAAAACAGTGCCATTTGTGTCTTATAAAATAAGGCTGCTCAAACTTGACTACATAGACATCAACTAAAGATCTTAAAATGCAGGTCCTGGTTCAGTAGTTCTGGGGTGGGGCCCGAGAGTCTACATTTCTAACAATCACTCTGGTAGCGTCCAGGCTGTGGACAACTGGACTCCACCTTGAACAATAAAGCTACAAATGAATCTTATTCCTTCTAGATGAAATCAACTGGCCTGAGAAGGATGAGGCTCCTCCTCCAGATGCCCAGGATCTCATCACCTTGCTTCTCAGGCAGAATCCCCTGGAGAGGCTGGGGACAGGTTAGAGCGCATGTTGCTTTGCCAGTATACAAGAAATAATGTCCTCTGGAGCAAGCTGAGACTGTTGCTTATGTTTTTTGGTGTAGGCAACATCTGTTAGTTGATGTAGGACACAGCTATAACACATTATAGCAAAATTATTTGGGATTTTATATTTTGTTTTACGATTCAGAACAGCATATACACCAGGATGGTTAGTGTTTGTTTTCGTGTTTTGCAAAGCAGAAACTTAATTTGCTTCAGTAAATACATCTCAAGGGCATACGCCTGTCTTCTGTCCTGAAAAGCATGCATCTTAAATAATTGGAAACAGAAAATCAGATATGCGGAGCTCTTTTTGGTTATGTTTTTAATGTATGTTCCATAAGGATTCGACCCAGCAGGCATCTATCTACAGGCTCTGAAATGGGTTATCAGTACTCGAACTAATTATTAGAAGTAAGAGCCTGGGGCTGAACCATGCTGTCCTCTCATGGTGATCAGCACCATGACCCAAGAAAGAGAATTACGCACCATTACCTTTGACGATAAATGAAATGGTACATTTGTTTCTTGCTGATGTTTTTTTCCTGCTTGTACAACTAACAATTTTGTGTTGCTTTTTCTTTCCTCTATTCTGAATAGACATGCTCTAAGATCTCTTGGTATAGAGTCCAGGTTGGCTTGAGTGACTTTGTTTCAGTGAAACTAAAATGTTAAATATAAATGCATACATTCTAACCCATAACTAATTTTATCAGTGAAAATTATTGGCTTGGTGGATTGTTTATTCTGAACAGTTTCATTCTATATCATTTTAACAGAAATGCCAGCAAAGACTGAAGAAATCATTCTCTTCCCTAGTTTTTTCCCCAAGACAATCATTTGCAACAGTTCTAAATATTTATAATAATCTATACACTGACTCACATATTCCTCTGTTTGAAGGATCTGTTCCTGTTTACATATGGACCACCATAGGCGAGGCTGGATGGTACATGCCTACAATTCCAGCACTCCAGATGTAGAGGCAGGAGGATCAAGGTCATTTTGGATACATGAGACCCTGTCTCAAAAAAAAAAAACCCAAAACACTGCATTACTACAGTTTATGATAATACTTTATATCAGAGGCCAGCAAACTTGTCTGTGGGCCAAATCTGGCCATTACCATTTCCATCTTTTTGTAAATAAAGTTTACTGAAATGGAAACACAGCAACACCTTTTCATGTGACATATCTTCTATGACTGCTTTCATGTTATGTCAGCAGAACTGGTCAGTCATAAAGAACTCTATGACCCACAGAGACTAATATTTGCACTGCTTGGCCTTTTATATAGAAATTTTGCAGGCCCCTTGTTGGCGAATTCAATAAGGCTTAAATCAGGGCTTACTTGGGAAATACTTTTTATTTTTCTATTTATTATTTGTTTGTTTATCTATTGATCACTTTATGTATTTATTGAGATGATTTCCCTGTAGCCCCAGCTGACCTGGAACTTGATATGTAGACTAGGCTGGCCTAAATCTCATAGAGGTCTGCCTGACTCTGCCTCCTGAGTGCTGGGATCAAGATGGGCACCAGCACGCCCAGCTGGAAATAACTTTTGAGCTGAGCTACCTCTCCCCTTTCCATTGAATGAGTGGACATTTCTCTGGGAAAGCCACTGTCTATCTAGGTTAAGGGCACAAATTGGAGTCAGATGGCCCAAGTCTAATTCTTGACTATCTGACCAAGGATAGTTTTCCTCATTTCCTCACTGTGTGAAAGAGCCTTTCGTAATCCCATCTCAAAGGATCATTGTGAACATACAAGGAAGTCCCCCAGGTGATGCTGCCAGTGTGGCATTTGCTATTTGGCTTGTTGAGTCTCCTGTTTTCCTTTGGGGCACTTACGACATGGCACAGCGGTGGTGCAATGACCTTTGGGCCCACTACTCCTTGAACTGAGTGTTTCTTCCCACCCTATTTGTTTCTCCACTTGTCTGAAGTGACGGCAAGCTTGTTATTTCCCCCCTTCAAAGGCCTGCAGTCAGATCTGCTTTATGGTTCGAAAGTTAAGAGTAGCTGTCAGAAATGGTGTCAAGACTGTGTTAGGGGAAGGTGCTTAAGGAATAATTTTTACTTACTTGGGCTAAATATGAAAAACAGTGATATTTTAAGACTGACCAGTGATGATACAGGTATCTAGTTAACTGTCCCATTACTGACCCAGACAAAAGGGCGCCCATGATCTGACTAACAATATGTTTGTATGGACACCTCCAAAGGAAGTTTAGTCCCCTCCCTGAAGTCCTCAAGATTCAGTTTGGAGTTTTTCCACTTAATACTCTGCCCTTCCCCTCCTCCAAGAATACTACAGTCTTTGATTGGGCTTGACTTGACAAGACAGGGCAGAGATGGTGGTCAGCAGATCCATATTTTTATACCATGTGCTGCAAGGTATCTTTCTGCATTTTCTTTCTGGCAGCTGCTTTCAGTCTGACAGTTTGAAGAACAAATTCCCTAGCAGAAGCCCAAAACAGACATTTAAAGGCCTTACCCAAGCTCAGAATTGTCAAGATGCCATTGCCAAACAGGCAGGTCCAATGTGACAGGCCCCAGTAGGCCCCTGAGATGAGCCTGAGGATCTTGCAGGCCTGCCACGCTAGTTCCAATGACAGCATTTGTGTTTAACATACATTTAGTTGGCAAAATAATGCACAGTGAAAATGTGCTAATGCACATTTGTCTGAGAGACTGCAGAGGCTGAGAAAAAAGGGTGTGAAGAGCATAGTGGGTGTTTAGAAAATGTCCATGAAAGGAAACTCAAGGGAGTACGATATGCTCTAAGCCATAACTTGCAATTTGGGGCCTTGCTGTGGACTTGAACTATACTCTTGAGCTAGCAGAGAGCTGAGTGGCAGACTGGCTTTCTGAACCTTAGCACTGGCTCAGATATGACTGCCTCCTGGGTACTAGCTTTGAGGTGCTGGGTGGTTTCTTGTCCTCAGCCTCAGTTTCCTAGTCTATGGAAATGGGCATAGGATACACCTCAGGATTCTTATAGGGACTAAACACAATGATGTTCATGTAGGTAGCTAGTACAGGGAACTAACTGCATAACAGAGGGCTCAAGGCAGTTTCCTTTTCTTCCCCTTCCCACCTTGAAGCATCCTTCCAATGAAAGCTGTCTCTGCATGAAGGATGCTGTCATCTCTACTTTTATCAACAGTAACCCAAAGATCATCTCCCCCTGTTTATTCTTTTTTTCTTTTCTTCCTCATCTCAGAGCCACTTCTCAGAAAGCCACAAAGGCCAGTGGAAAGAAATGTGAGGCGAAGCCTCCATGACTGTGACTGCTTGGGGAAGACCCACTTGTCTTTGTCCACAGAAAGGAAGCAGAGGCTCATCAGCTTGAGTCTTATAGATAGGAAGGTGGTAGAGGAAGATGGAAGAGTTAATAGGCAGCAGTGTAGTCTGGAAAGGCTATGCAAGCCCTTGGCTTTGGAAACTTGCTTCTCTGGGTGAAGTTCAACAGCCCATAATTTCAGAACTTTGTCACTGACAGGACCCCACGAGCAGCAGCTGCATTGTTAGTCATGGTGGTGGAACCGTAGCTGAGCCAAGAGTCCAGAGACGCCTATCATGGGCTGCTCATCTGAGCTTGACTCTGGATCTCATATCATCATCTTGGAGGGGGAGTTGATTAGGGCAGCACACAAGCTTTGCTTCTCCAAGTAAAAGAGCATTAGAAGGAAATGACACTGGCAGCTGTTTGGAGGGCTAAAATAGAACCAGGGTACAGAATGGTCTGGAATGAAGTGTGTGGAGATGCTATAGAACAGACATGCCAGTTGACCCAGCTACCCAGAAACCATTTCACACTCATGCAGAGAGACAGTGCATCAGAGGCAGTGAGAGCAGGAGCCCTGTGTGTCAAGGTGGGCCTATCGCACTGAGGCTGGCCTGGGTATTTTTAGACAGACCTGGGCACAGCCTTCTCATTCTTACTCTGGCAGATCCTACTGCAGCACGGACCATTGTTCTCCTTTAGTTTCCTCATCTAAAAGTGGAGCTAAGAATGCCTACCTTATCTAGGGGTATTTTCAATAACTGAATTAGAAGAAACCTAGAACCTGCTGGTTGCAACACTACCAGGGAGATATGTAGCCTAAAGAATTCCTACAGGATGTTTGCACTCAGGTGGAGATGAGATCCTGACTTAGATCACAGTAAAGAATTTCAGGACAAGTTAGCTTGAAGCAAAGCTGGGGTTTATGAAGGAAAGGACACTACACACCCAAGGCAGATTCAGGGTGCAGCTGTTAAGAAAAACACATAAGTGCCTTAACAATAGCTATGAGTTTTGTGACTTCTCAATTTCACTTTTGGCCTGCTCAAAGGATGTAATTTATAGCAAGATTCAAAGATTAAGTAAAGCTTAAAAAATTGGACTGGTTTATTTTTAAGAATTTCCTTTTGTAAATGAAATTGTAAGGTGGTTTATTGGTGCAAATTATTGGTGGTTTATTATTCAGGTTTATGGATGAGAGAGGAGTACAGAGGGTAAAATCAAAGGGTGCAAGGGTGTAAATCATACATTTTGGTCTTGGTTCATTGGCTGCTTTTATGCTTTGGTTTGAGCTGTAGCTCAGCAAAAGACGTAAATCTCTACGCAGACAGGCTTTACGGAAGTTTTGATTTTTGTCAGTTGTGTGGCAATTCTTGACCCTCAGCCAGTAAGGAACATAAACGATTTCCTGGGGTTGGGGGACACTCCTTGCTCATGTTCCCTTCGTTTTCCCTGTCCTCTCCTGCCTCAATACTCAACACAGAGTTTTCTCACAGATCATAGTTGAAAGGTCACTGAGCTGTGATCTAATCAGACTTCAGAATTAAGCTTGAAATCCAGAGGACACCTGCATAGACTCTTGGGTAATGATTATCAGTCACGTGCTTTGTCAAGAGCAACCTGTTGGCCCCTCTGCTGGGTGATTTCCCTCTTTGCTCTTCTCCCTTCATTCCATTATTTTCAAAACACATGAAAATATGCCTTGTGCTACAGGGGTCCCATGTGGACAGGGCCGTGCCTTTGAACCATGCAGATAGCATCCCTGTCCCTACGAAGACCCACAGTTCCTCTTCCACCTAGCTTGTCTTTTCCATTCTGTTCCCTTTGTACCTGCAGGGAACAGGATGTGTCTCATGAGACATGGGTGACAGTCACAGAGAGCAGCTTTACCATTCCCCTAAAGGAAAGTTTGGCAGAGGCTGATCAGAATTTCCTGGTGGTCTTTTGAGAAATCTCTCTTCCTACAGAGCAGCTTTACCATTCCCCTAAAGGAAAGTTTGGCAGTGAGGCTGATCAGAATTTCCTGGTGGTCTTTTGAGAAATCTCTCTTCCTACAGCTTTTTCAGGGTCGAATCTTTGTTCTCTTTCTCTACAGCGTGTGCTCTGGTAGTCGGGTGGGGGCCTGATACAATTTTATAATATGTACTTTCCTCTATTTTAATGAGATATTGTACTAGTGTTTTTAATGAGGCCTGTTAAGTCACTCTTTATAATCATTAAATACATTTTAAGCATCTCACTAGACAATGCTGCTATGATTGCTTGGCAAACAGAAGCCTCAACCTTAGCAATTGTGATTGATTTTTCTTAAATACATTGTAAATCTATCTAACGATAGATTTGGCAGTTCCTTACTTAAGCATCCAAGCCATAGAATCTAATTCCTACCTATGTTAATGAGCAATCCAATAAAATTGAATGGTAACCATTATATGGTATTTAGGAAAAAATTCATCATTATTAGTCTTACCTCCAGAGGAAATATTGCTGTGAGCACATTTTGCACCTTGTTAGGATTTTTCTGGGTTTGTAATGAGTGAGTCTGCTTTGGGCCAACATGCGTCCATTTCCCCAGGTTCAGTATAATGTGATTTTAAGTGGCCATGTCATTAACCTTTGAAAAATGGAGCAAGTCATGGAGAAATTAACAAAGAAAAACTGTGCCACAGCAACTACTGTGAACAAAATCAGATCTTGTGCTGATAAATTATGGGAATTTTTTTTCAAGTTTTGTAAAATGAAAAAAGTATGATTTCCATGACTACTTTATATCTCTGCTGATAAATATTTTAAATTGTTCCTAAGACTTGGTACTTACCTTCACTTGGAGGCTAGTTTATCCTCTCTACCTCTCCTCCCTCCCCCTCCAGGTGGTGCATATGAAGTCAAACAGCATCGCTTCTTCCGCTCTTTAGACTGGAACAGTTTGTTGAGACAGAAGGCGGAATTTATTCCCCAACTGGAATCGGAGGATGACACAAGTTATTTTGATAGTATGTGCATTATCTGACATAAGACATCCTTTGGCCTTTACTGTGTTTAAAAAAATTGTCTCCAATTTTGAGCCTTTCCAACCCCATACCTACAAGTTCTGAAAATGTAGTGTTGCTTTGATCCAGACACTGGTAATTAAACTATATGAAAAGCTGAAACTCTGAGTAACTGGAACTGTTCCCAAACATTTCTCTGCAGCTCGGTCAGAGAAATACCATCATATGGAAACGGAGGAGGAAGATGACACTAATGATGAAGACTTCACTGTGGAAATAAGGCAGTTTTCCTCGTGTTCACATAGGTTTTCAAAAGTAAGTGGGGTGGGACATCAGCGTCCAAAGGGTCTGGGAGAATCTCCCACTTGGAAGGAGCTGGTGCCCAGAGCAGCTGGACTGTCAAAGCTCCTGTCCTTTGTGGGGTCTGAGGTCCCTAGTGCTTAAAAATCATGTCATTTAGGAAAAATGATCTTGTTATCTTGATAAGCAGGAGTTTCTACTTGTTAGAAGTATCTGTGTGTCTTTACATAAATTAAGGTCTGACTTTAGGGGTTTTGTTGCTATTGTTTGCTTTGTTTTCTTATGAGGCAAAGACTTGTAAGCATTAGCATCTTCTCATGACAGATGTTTATCTGATGAACTTGCTTGCCTGTCCCGTGTCTAAGTACAGTCTATGGAGACCTCACCCTGCTTCTTTCATCTTATAAGGAAAAGCCTAGGCTTTGCTGTGTGCAGAGCTCTCTCCTACTACAACCCTGAGCACAACACAAGAATAAAGCTCATGCTCTTGGCATGAGCCAAGATACATAGGGACAGCTGACTATGAGATGAGAAAGTATTTTAATCCGTAATAGAGATTATAAGTTATATTAATAAGGCAGTTGGAAGCCAAGCTAGAACCTTAGAAAAGGTAGAAGATAATGAAAGAGATGCTTGATAAAGATGCCATTTTACAGATAGTGGTGAGATTTAAAACAAAGAAAATTGATAGTTTTATGGCAGGAAAAAGCCTTAGGAAAATGGAAATAAACTTAGAGGGAGCCCTTCCTCCCTTTTGCTGTTTTCAGTTGCTACTTATTTTCGGTTGCCATGGCATTTTGAATGATTGTTGTTTAGCTATTGTATAACATTTTGTGACTTTAATGTGCTCTGTAGGTTATGCTAAGTGATGACCCAGAGTGCATCTGCAAATTGGCCAACGCTACCCCTCTCTATTTATAGGAACAGAGGAGTAGGGATTTCCCTAGAAATGGTTGTGACAAGTCTGCCCTAGAGCCAGGACAAGTTTGGCTAACATTCAGTGGAAACCCACAGCACAACCTGTCTTCTAGCCTATCAGAGCCCCCTCTAGGCACTGTTTACTTCTTTACTTCAGAAGGCATTTCACTTTTCCTATTGCCTATTTTTCAGCCTAATCTTTTCTAACTCTAGTTGGTAGTGAGAGGCTAACGGCCTGTTTCTATGAGAAGAGCAAATAGCTGCGAGTGATAGTGGGATGCACTCACGCTGCTGTGCTCGCTAAACTCCCATTTTACCACCTGCCTTTTGTGTGAGACAGAAATTCAGAAATGAACCGAGACCTATTTGTTTAAGCTGTAGTCTCCTACACCAACATAGGCAGCAGTCTGACTGATTTGTCAACCAAACAAGAACATCTGGCAACCTTTCCTCTTCCCCTAGAACCTACCCCACTCCAAATGTTGAAACTATTCATTTTTATACTATACTCAATTTCAGTTCATTTTTTCTTTCCATTCCTGATGCATGGCCAGCCGACATTTTTTCTCTGTTTTTCTGATTACTTTTTGAGCACCAAGCCAGTCTAAGGTGTGCATTCATCCTGAGACCTAGAAACCCCAGTGCACCTATGGATTTTTTTTTCAGATACAGAGTCCATGGGATATGGTGAAAGAGGACTGTGAGTCCATAGCTCACCACTCTAAACACACACACACACACACACACACACACACACACACACACACACAGTCCTTTCATCTCTGCATGCAAATAAGCAACCTTGTAAGTATTTCCTGCATCCATGGCCCCAGTTCACACTTTGGTCATATTTTCAGGTGGTTTTATTTATTTCTTCTATGACCTGGGATTTTTCTGACAAGCTCTTTTTAGAAGCTATTAATAAGCAATGATTATTTATTTGCCTTCCAGGTTTTCAGCAGTATAGATCGAATAACTCAGAATTCAGGAGAAGAGAAAGAAGACTCTGGGGACAAAACCAAAAGCACAGCCTTGCCGTCCACAGAAACATTGAGCTGGAGTTCAGAATACTCTGAAGTGTATGTGAGATGCCTCCCAAGTACTCTCATAAGCAATGGCTCCTAATGCTGTGGCTCTTAGACCTCAGGGAACATCAGAAACATTGGGGGCCTTGTTAAAAAAACACAGGTGCTGGGCTTACCTCCAAAGTTCTTGATACAGTAGATCTGGAACAGGTGCTGAGAACGTGTATTCCTAGGGAGTACCCTGCTTGTGCTGATGCTGGGTTACCATATTTTAAGAACCATTTCCCTAGACACATGTTGGTTAACCTTATCCAAATTCTCTCTTTACCTAGTTTTTTTTTCAAACCTTTGCCCTTAACAGTTTCCTGGTGCATATGTGTGACGCTGTTCTTATTTCTAATTAAGGCAACAGTTATCAACATCCAACTCTTCAGATACTGAAAGCAACAGATGCAAGCTCAGCTCTGGCCTCCTTCCTAAACTGGCTATCTCAACAGAGGGAGAGAAAGATACAGTTGCCCCATGCCCTGGAGACACCCGTGAGGAGCCAGAAAAGCCAGTCCTTCCTCCTGAGGAGAGTGCTCAGGAGGAGCCTGAGGTCACCACCCCAGCCAGCACCATCAGCAGCTCCACGCTGTCAGGTAAGTGACAGCACCACCTGCCCTGCACCACACTGAGAAGTGGCTCCCTGAGCCCACCCAGCTAGAACATCAAAATAGGTGTTGTTAACAACCAGACTCTTTCCATGGCCCTCTTCTTAGGCTTGAGGGACAGCTCTTAAAAACTCAGATCAGCTGTCATAGCCCTATCCTCAGTACCAGGCCATGCAGCAGACTGACCTGGCTTAAGTGGACCTTGGGGCACTTTCACTGCCAGCTTCAGTGGAGTCCTCTGGTGACAGGCAGAACCTGCTATGGGAACCTATAGTAGAGCTGCACCCAACTTAGAGTAAGGGACAGCATCACACAATCAAGTCATCACAGTTACCCTTGAGAACGTCTCCTGTCACGCATAGGATGAAGTGTGAAGCCAACTTTCCCTGCAGTGCTGAACTGGATGGCAACTTCTTTGAAGGAGTTAGCCTTTGTGATAGAGTCATGTATCAAACATCTTATCCCTGCCCATTAGGCTCACAGTTGAGTGTAGCAAAGAGCTTGTGCTGTGAGGCTCACCAGACACCTTCAGTTAGATCTGTTAGATCTGAGGAGGAAGATGGAAGTGAGAAATCCCACATGCTTCCTGTGCTGCCTGATGGCATCAGAAATAACTAGTACACATAGTTGATACTCTGCAGTCTGTGACAAGGATACTCCCGAAGCATCTCGCCCTGCAGTTGCAATCAGGTGTCTGGGTCTTTTGACAGGATTTTTGCAGCTACCTTTTCATGAAGTAACCTTCCTGTCCACAGGAATAGTGTCTTCACAGGTGTTCAAAGTGCTTAATGTTTCATTACTCCTTCCTGGCCCTTAATAATGGAAATGCCTTCCTTAGAAGATCAGACTTGGGCTTACATCCCTCAGAACATGATTTGAGGTGCATTTAAGAGATTATCTGGTTTATGAAAGGCTTATAACAGCATATCCTGCTGCGGAGCAGTGTGGATTTATACTTTTTAAAAAAAGTGAAGGAGGCTCTGACTTAGGGTTGTTGTAACAAATGTTTTTATTATTATATGTCCAATATGCTATATTGATAAGCATAAATGACTCCAAGAATTTTCATCAACAGTTTAAAACTGAATATTCACAGTATAAGCTTTTTAAAAAATCATCTTAAGGCCAGGCATGGTGATGCAAGCCTTTAATCCCAGGCAGATCTCTGTGAGTTCAAGGCCAGCCTGGTCTACATAGTGAGTTCCAGGACAGCTGGGGCTATGGGGAGACCCTGTCTCAAAAAGACCAAAAAAAAAAAATCATCTTAAAAAATTAGATTTCTCTGTAGCATTTCACATGCTTATAGTGATCTGGGGAAAATAATGTTGAGTTCTCTATTTCTTTCCACCTTCATTCTATTTCCATGTTGGATACTTCCACTTATTCTAAATGAGAAGCTAAGAGAAGAGCACTGTAGAAATAGTACAGGAAGGACATCTGATTAGTTGAGGATTCCTGGCCATGTTTAGCTAATCTTAAGATTCACATCGAATGTGGGCATCTCAGTATTTTATATTCCTGGTTACCAAGGTGGCATCTGGTTCTCAGTTATCTTGCTCTGCACAGAGTAGATTCACATTTATTTAAAAGTTGCTGTCTAAGTATCTGTAGCCTATTCACTATAGAGCAGTAGGAGGTGAGGGGAGGCAAGCGGTGTCTAAGCACTTGATTGATTACTTTCATAATTAAAAAATATCTGCCTGGGTCCTGCCATGCATTTTGATTAATAGAGTCAACCTACCTTTCTCAGTCTCTCTCCCCCATACACACACTAAAAATAATCAAAGACCTTGGGGGCCGCACAGAATAGAGAGATGAGCTGATTTGCTTACAGCCAAGGGTAATTAGGGAACCTGAAAACCGTGACTGTAGTAAAATTAAATTTGTTGATTTTTATATTGCTCCCCCATCAAAAAGAAGGAACCCTTGACATTTAGAGCGCATTAAGGTGACATTATCCACCATTGGCAGAAAGAAGCACCTGCGTATGAGACAGGGCTGCGAAATGAGTTGGGGGAAGGAAGCGAAGGGGACAAGGAAGGTGGGAATTGTGCATCCATCCTGGCATTTAGGAAAGTGCAAATTTAGGTATGTTTCCCTTTTTTTCATGACTACAATATATTTGAATCCTTAAAAAGTAGAAGTCATGAAATTGTAGTTGCTCTGTTCAACTGTACCCAACAAATTACTCACCATAAAGAGATTCCACTTTTTATTTTCATGTTTTGTTTTGCTCTCCTGTCATCCAAATCCAGTTGGAAAGAGAAAGGGGGTGTGTGGTTCATCTGAAGGAAGCCTCAAGTTTAGAGAGGTGAAATTTTTGACTAGTGAAGCCGTTTTGATCAAGTCCTTCAAGCAACTGATTTCTTTCAGGGAATGGAATCGATTCCTTGTTTGATGAGAGAATGCATTTAACAAAGGAATGGAAGGTTGTTGGTGTTTGCCTTAAGACTGTCCTCTTCCCTTGGTCAAGTGGATATGTGGAAATCCATGAACCTTTCCCATCCACACAGGCCATGAAGTGTTCTGTATGCACATCCACCATTTTGGGCATCCTCCTAGAGAGACCTGAAAAGCATTCCTATCCACAGACTAGGGTCAGACTAGAGCCATGTCATTGAGTGGCGTGTGTGTCATAGTGCCGGCAAGATGTTGGTTCTGTTCATTCAGGCCAAGTCTGTCCTAAGCAGAAGATGCCATGTCGCAGCACTTGAAGGTGTGCTAGTGGGTCTTTTAGACTCATTTATAATGGCATTACATACTGTACATGCTTTATAGATCTTAGGACCATAGCACTGAGGAGTTTTAAGCACAGGAGGCTTGTGATAGAGAATTTCTAAATTTTGTGTTATTATCTGGTAAGCATAGAGTTTCAGATATTTGTGAGGGAAGCATGGCCTCTTCTGGACAGACAAAAATGTATTATTGATGACTTTAAATACAGAAGGCTTTTAGCCTGCGGAGTAAAGAGGAGGAGAAATTAATGTAGGTAACTGCTCAGTTTGTCTCTGAGGGTTGCAACCTGTTGCTCTATCTGAGGTAATTAAAGGTAATCTTCTTTACCCTCAGTCTTGGTCATGCTCCACTTCACCATCCTGTGTTTCTGTCCTCAGGGGAGTCCAAATGTTTTAACTTAAAAATAACTCCAGTATGTGTAAGTGCTAATAAACTTACAAATATAAAGAATAAGTATGCCTTAAAGAGGGTGGAGGATAACTTTAGGGAGGATCGGTGTATGACAGTCTGTATTGAAAGTCAAGAAGATTAAAGCCAGCTATTAAGGAATGTGGTAAGCAGTATTTTGTGTTGTGTCCTTTGAAATCTGCAAGAAGCTTAGAGTGAAAAGAGGCATTTAGAAAGGACGGGAGACATGTTTAAACTTCTGTGAGTTACATATCTGGGCCTGAATGATTTATATTTGTGAAGTTGGAGCAGGTGACACACACATAGCCTACAGAGGGATTAAATAGCATCCCTATGTTAAAAAGATTAGTGGCATTCATGATGATCATTAGTATCGGTATGAGGGGGGTGATTATGGTGTCCCTAAGGTAGTGTTGGGTTTATAACACGGCCTCTGTGGGAGAGTATGGGAGGAGTCTCAGAGGGTTCGGAAATATACATTGTAGAAAGCTAGTCTTCTAGGTGAATGGACTCATTGAGCATCACCAGACTGTGTGGGAGAACAAAGCCTGAATGCATACCTCCTCCATCTCTCCCATCTCTTCTCCTCCACAGCACCTTTCTCAAACAAGTTGTTTCTCACCTCCAGTTTGGCACATTTGACCCTAGGAGCCACGAGGAAGTATTTCCCGGTGTTTATCCTTTACTCTCCCTTCCTAGCTCCACCTCTCTTGTCCTAAATTTTCCTGAACGTGTTTATTCCTTCTTCTTTGTACAGTTGGCAGTTTTTCAGAGCACTTGGATCAGATAAATGGGCGAAGCGAGTGTGTGGACAGTACAGATAATTCCTCAAAGCCATCCAGTGAATCCGCTTCTCACATGGCTCGACAGCGATTAGAAAGCACAGAAAAAAAGAAAATCTCGGGGAAAGTCACAAAGTCCCTCTCTGCCAGTGCTCTGTCCCTCATGATCCCAGGAGGTAGAGAGACATCAACTCGCATGAAATTGTGTGGTTTTTGCATGTGCTCTCCTCCCTTCTCCCCTGGTCTGGAATGCTGATTGAGAAGCAGGATTGCATGAAGCAATCAAGGGTGGGATCCCAGAATAGCTCTGAAGAGCTTCTGCCTATACACCCCTGAACTCTCCCTCTAAGACCTCTGGGGTTCCCAGAGGGCATGTGCATCTGTTTCATCGCACTTTCTGTATCTGTGGATTTCTTTGATTTTCTTAATCCCTTCCTTTTCTCCCCCAAGGCTAAATACATTTCCCTCCCTGAAATAAGTTTTTCTTCTCTAGATCATGTACTGTTTATACTTTATAGCGCTATTTAGAGCCTGTGTGTTGGAAAGCTAAGTATAGTTTCCCTCATCTAGTGAATGAGGAAATAGACACAGAGTGTAAGTTTTGTATTTCTGGAGATGCAGAGAACTTCAAGGGCAGTGTTGAAATGAGAAGTTTTCTCAACACTGTGGGTTGAACTGCACTTTCTCCTACTGGTAGACAAATTACAATCCAATAAAGCCATAATTAAGTCCAATTTTCCAAAACAGGTCAGAAGCTAATGTTTTCCTGCAACTTGGTTTTGCATATACCGATCACTAAATTTGTAGTAATGCCACTGGCAGAGATGAAATAGATCCTCTGGTGATCATGACATCACTCAAAGAGTGGAATTAGAAACCAAATCATTTTATAGATGGCATACATTGGGAAAAATACAAACTATGTTGTGAAAGGTATTATTTACTTTTAAATTTTCATACTTGTATAAAAGAAATTTGATATAAATAGAGGCTTAAGAGCATAGTCCTGTGCTCACTAACAGATTTCTTTGCTGGGCAGTAAAGAAAGCAGACATGTACCTCCCTGGTCTGCATGGGCCTACATACTGCAAAGGTAGACCCAGTGCCACTGTGCAAAAGGGAAGTAAAGTTTGCTGTGGTCTAGTCTACCTGTACAAGCAGGTGAGGCAGCCCACACTTTGGGAAAGGGGGGAAGTTACACAATTTATAGAGGAAAGGGAGTATACCATGAGGTTAAGAATTGGGAGACTAGCCTTTCCAGTTTGAATCTTGAGTCTTATCTTGCCTCCACTCACCTGTCATGAACTGGTCCAACCACCAGTGACCTCTTTTCACTTGGACTCTGGATTTGACATAAAGTAGCAGTAAAGGGAATCAGGATGGCACATGAAGTCAGAATAAGAATACCAGTAGTGATAGACTTAGCTTTAGTCTTGTTCAGACAACCCAAGACTTGGAATACAGTAGTACAGAAGCTTTCATCTTACTCTCACCACATTGGGGCTTGCCACATCCCTGGGAGTCTCCAGCAGCACTGGGCACCTTGTAGCCTTGTGCTAACCAAGACACATTCTAAACCTCAGCATCTTCTGAAGACTGCTGTGTCTTTTCTTAGACACATGTACAATTTCATGACTTGTTAAGATCTTCATACATTCAAATAGAACAGTGATGTGAACTGTAATTAGAGATGTGCTCATATCCCAGTTTGCTCAAGCTGCTATAACACAATACACTTTGTTAAGTTATAAACAATCAATAGAATTTGTTGTTCATTTTCAGACAGAAATCCAAAATCAAGGCACCAGCAAGTTTGTTATCTACTATAGGTTCTCAGGCCTCTTCCAGGAACACATTAACCCCGTCAGGAGAGACAGAGCCCTCATGGTCTAAATACTTTCCAAATGTACCTCCAAATACCATCACCTTGGACATGAGGCTTCAGCTCACAAGCTTTAGGAATTGCAAATATTTAAAATACAGAAGTTTGCTTATGAAACAGTAAAAGTGGTATTTGGGAATAGATGCTGATTAGCTTTAACACTTATCTTCTTTACCCTTGAAGAAACATTTTCATTTGCAGATACTATATGAAGAGAACAGTTGTAACCATAGTAATTTGTTTATAGGGAAGTCACCCTATAAACATGTTATTTTTCTCTCAATTAAAATTAGTCAATCAATTCTACCTCAGTAACATTGCAAACAGTAGCTGGAAAATTGATCATTGTTTTTCTGGTCATTGTGTTTAGAGTTATGTTAAATTGTTTAGTATGAGATTTGGAGAATAGTGCCAAAAATCACTCTTTGTGTAGGGAACTTTTAAATACCATAATTTTAGAATATTGATTGAAAAGTTGGTAAAAACAGGAACACTTTTGGTGTTTCCTTGACAGATTTCATTTTTGTAGACAGTGCCAAGTACCAACATCAGTATTTTTTGCATTAGTTCTTATTTTGCCCTTGGAAAACATTTTCTTTTCCTGGTAGGGCATACCCTGGGGAGGGCAGGCTGCACGGATAGGCGTCTTTGTGCCCTGGATCAGCTTTGATGCTGGCTTCTCTGTTGCAGACATGTTTGCTGTGTCTCCCCTTGGAAGTCCAATGTCCCCCCACTCCCTGTCCTCGGACCCCTCTTCTTCTCGGGATTCCTCTCCCAGCCGAGATTCTTCAGCAGCTTCTGCCAGTCCACATCAGCCCATTGTGATTCATAGTTCTGGGAAGAACTATGGTTTCACCATCCGAGCTATCCGTGTGTATGTGGGAGACAGTGACATCTACACCGTGCACCACATTGTCTGGGTAAGAACAAAGGCTCATTCTTGTCTGCTTTCCTTTCTAAGCAGCCTGGAGAGTGCATCCTTGGTCAAAGCAGTGGATACCAGTGTGTTCTGTTTATGTGGCCCCTGGGCCTAGTGTCATTTTCTTCTTAGTGTTCGTTCCCTTTTAGCTCTATGGTAGAATTTGATCTATCTCAAACTAGTCATTTCCCCTAATTCTGCCCAGTTTCTGTACCTGACTGCCCACTCTTACATACCAGTTTAATGGACTTAAGGACTATCCTCTTTCTATCCTTTTACTATTCTTTAAAAAGAGTATCTTATTTTTAATTCTGTGTATGTATGTGTGTCTTTGTGTAGGGGTGTGCATGCAAATGCCCACAGAGGCCATAGGTGCTAGATCCCTGGAGATGGAGTTAGAGGCTGTTGTGAGCTGCCTGGTATGGGTGCTGGGAACCAAACTCGGGTCCTCTGCAAGAGCAGTGTGCACTCTAAAGTACCAAGACATCTCTCCAGCCCCTGTTCTTTTTAGTTCTAGTTTTTTTCTTGCCTTGTTTTTAAAAGTTATGTTCTCATTCACTTCAGTTTTATTTTTTAAATATGGGAATTCTTATTTTAGAGAAATAGCAGAATAGGAGCCATGCCTTTTGGAGTTTCTGTTAAGAGCTTAGCATCATTGCAAGTTGATTCGGAATATCCTGACAGCAGAAATGGTGAGTGTTAGCTGTTTGTTTGCTTACAATATGTACTCTCCGTTTGGGCTTTAGAATGTAGAAGAAGGAAGTCCAGCATACCAGGCAGGATTGAAAGCTGGGGATCTGATCACACACATCAATGGAGAGCCTGTGCATGGACTCGTCCACACAGAAGTGATCGAGCTCTTGCTGAAGGTACTATTTTCCTATGTCCTGGCCGTTTAGAAGCAGTAGGTTAACACAAAGGACTCAGTTTCTCTGTGACACAACCACGTAGTCAGCCTCATCACTGGAAAGGTATTTAGTAGTTAGAAATTTTACATAAAGCGAAGAAGCTATTAAGAATTACCTGGTTTCATGTGAACAGATGTCCTTGAATCTACCCTCTCGTTTCCCAAGTTTGCTTCCCACTATAAATTGAACATGGTAAGAATTCTCTTTGTTTTTGTAAGAATTCTCTATGTACCTCACATAGTAGAATCCATTTGGGAATCATCAGTTCTAAGAGTGATTTTCTTCAGGAACTTTCAGCAGGTTTTATTCTTTTATAGGCGGAGAAAAACTCATTTAGCTGTGAAGTCTGATATAAAGGTTTAAGAATTAGCATTCCTTTTAAAGACAGAACTTTAGATATAGTTATGTGTGCTATAAATGATGAGAAGAAGGAGCCCTAGCATTACTAGGCTTTCCTCCCTCCTCATACATATATCCAAGTTCATTTCCATGGGGATCAGTTCCTATTTAAAAAGGGCACTGAGTGGGACCTAAGCTGTCAGACTACAGAAAACAGGAACGTAACTGGAGAGAGAGAACCCCTGTGCATGCTCATCCTCTCAGACAGGTCTGTTGAGATATCTGACTTGCTGACTGCAGAATATCACATCAAGGATACAAAGATGGACGCACCTAAATTTGATTATAAATTTTCTCAGGAAAAGGCTAATTTGTCTGTGATGAGAAATACCATCTATATTAGTCACTTGTCTGTTGCTGTGATAGAAACACTGACCAAAGCAATTCATAGAAGGAAGAGTTTATTTGAGCTTACAGTTCCAGGGGAATTACAGTCTGTCTTGGCAGGGAGGCATGGCGGCAGAGGTGGCTGGAGGAGGAGCAGTGGAAGCTAAGCTCTACATCTTCCAGCAGGCACAGGAAACAAGAGAGCAACTGGAGATATGGCAAGGCTTAAGAACTCTCTAAGCCCACCCTCAGTGATGTGCTTCCTCCAGGATAGCCACAGATTCTAAGACCTCTCAAAACAGCGCCCCCATCTGGGGACAAAATGTCCAAATACTTGGAGCCTATGGGGGACATTTTCATTCAAACCACCACACCATCCCTCCCTATATGACTTTTGGACAGCCTCTTACTTCATGACTACTGTGCTCAAGACTGTGAGGCATGACCAGCCAGAGAGATAGGAGCCTCAAAGAACCCATTAGGGAGGCAAGATAAATATGTCCAACCATAAAGCCATATGAATGGCTTAAATGTTTACAACCTCGTAAACACTGGTGATGCCAAGATTAAGAAATGTTCTTTGCTCTCAGAAAGAACAGGACATGTATATAAGAAAAGCAACTTAATTAGCTCAGGCAGAAGCGGAGGGAGGAATGTTGTACTTTTGGAGGGAACATTCTATGAGTGGGGAGAGGCATCCCAGGAGAGTGACATTGAAGGGGAACTTGAATGAGGAATTTACAGGCACTATCAGAAAAGTAGACGTGTCTTTCAAACCAAATGAAGTCAGATGACTTTTCTCCTCCTATCTCTGTTCTTGCCCAGCTCACACAGGGAGCATTTTTCAAAAGATGCAGAGTCTGTTTCATAGTCCAGAAACAATATGTCTTCTAAATTCTAAGGTCGCCAGAGTGAGCTACTACATAAGTTATCGCTCTTGATTAATTCATAGTAGTCATGAAAGTTTGGCCTTGCATTTCATTAAACAATGGAAGGACAAGGACCACACAGCAACTTCTCACCTGAGGTTTTTTAGTTTGATTCAGCATTCATCTTTGATACCACCATTTATCTACCTGGGGGTGGGACAGCACTCTCAGTTAAGAATCCCAGAGATGGGAAGCTGAGCAGGACTTGTAATTTTGAGTTTCGTGGGCTGTAAAAGTCACCTGAAATTGCCTTAAAGCTCCCAGGACCAAAGTTAAGAAGAAACACAAAAGAATCCCAAGTCTCAATAGCTGCTTCACCCCTAGTCTTTGATCCTGTGGTCCCTGGAACCCAGAGGCTCTCAGAGGCACCCTTTGTGGATAAGAACCTGGGGAAACTATTGGAAGTTTTGTCTCTTATATCCAATCTAATAAGTCTTCCAGGTTTGTAGGGACTATTAAGAGTAGTAGACAGAGGAGTTTACTATCCCTTAAATGTTCCTTGACCTTGTCTAGCTTACCTTGACGTTTAGTGCTAGAGAATAACTCTCTTACTTGTCATTCATCCTGTTGGTGCTTAGAATTACTGATTTTTTAAAAAGTTAAAAGAATGTAATATCATGCATCTGCTCATAAAAGAAAAATAAACTGAAATACTGAGGGGAATATATTTTTGTTTATTTTCCCAAGGCATAATTGATCACACTTATGATTTATTTTGTATCTTACTATGATTCTCAATTTCCAGGCATCTCTTCCTGCTCCTGTGACATTTGAACAATTTCTGGCAAAGTGTCTTCATAGAATCAATTGGTTCTCTGTGTGATACTTTACCTGAACTGACCATGCAAAGTGTCTTCATAGAATCAATTGGTTCTCTGTGTGATACTTTACCTGAACTGACCATGGAGCACCTTCCACAGCCTAAAGCTTTGTTACTGGGTTTAGTCTTAGCCACTGAAAGGGTGTGAGGCTGATGGACTGATCTGTCACTTATCCAAGCAGCAGCTCCTCTCTCTGGTTCATAAAGAAGCCCTCAAGAGCAGTAACTAGTGTAATGAGACAAAGAGGATACCAGGGATTTAATTATCGCCCCAGTGAACTGTGTAATCATGTTGCTTTCTTCCAAATTTAACCAACGATTGTTGAACAAAGAGTGTAAGGTAACTAGCATCAACAGTAGGTGCCTACGTGCCATGCCTGGCTTAACATCTGGGTGGCAGCTCTGTTTTACTATTCATAGCAAGTATAGAACATCATGCAAACACTAAGTATTTGGAGTAGCTCAGGGCATCCTTAGAAAAAGAAGGAAAGATGGTCCCATAGGGCTGTATGTTTATGTGTAGAAATATAGAATATGTATCTTTTGGATTGTGAACACAGCATTTTCTCCAGTTCACTGCTTCATGTTTAAACTCATTTCCCCATGCAACTTCAGAGTAGACCTGCTATGGAAGCTCTGCCCTCCATGTACAGGGAGGCTCATCTAACACCAGCCAACATCCAAACTTACAGGACAGGATGAGTGGGTGGTGATCATGGTCACCCAGTTCAACTCCTTCATACATTCCCTTCCACAAGAAATTGACCATAGGGCAACATCAATCTTTCTAAAAGAACTTCATGGTCTTTCTTTACCCCCCAAGTCCTGAATGGAAACTACTGTCCTAGTTATAGACTCTGTTCAAATGATAATCTATCAGGTTAACCTCTGTAATAAGGAACTTTCCATTCTGCCAGATTGGATTGTTAGTTTAAATTCTTGATGCAGTAAGTAAAATCTTACTGAAATCTTAGTTACTTACAGTAAGTAAAATCTGCTGAAACCTTGCCAGAACTTTGTTCAGAAACCTCCTTTACATGAACTCTAGGGTATTCAGTTGTGAAATAGGGGCCATCAAATAACATCATTATCATCCTCATATATGTTGAGACCCTGATATATACAGAGCTTTAAGAATCACCCAAAAATTACACAGAAAAATACCCAGTAAGGGGCTGAGGTTCATTTGGTAAAGTGCTTGCCTTGCAAACATGTGGATTTGAGTTTGAATCTCCAGAATCATGTTTGTTTGTTTTTGTTTTTTAAAGGCCGGATATGGTGAATGTTGATAATCTCTGTGCTGGGGAGGCAGAGGCAGGAGGAACTGTGGTCTTGCTGGCCAGCCAGGCTAACCTACTGGATGAGTTCCAGAGCCTGTCTCAATAAACAAGGTGGACAGAACTTCAGGAAGGACAACCAAGGTTGTCTTCTGACCCAAACCATACACAAGCAAACACATACACAAGTGAAGAAAGAGTACTTGGTACCTTCCAAACTCATATAAGCTTCAGTTACTCTCTGAGGCATAAATAGAAATGTCCCCGTTTTCCATATACAAAAATTAATGCAGAGAGAAGTAAAGACGGCAGCCACACTTATCTGCTAGGAAGGGGATGACTTCTATCCAGCAGTGTGACATGGAGCCTGTGCTTTCAACACCCACCACACACTGCTCCAACACATGAATCTAGTTGCCAATCCCTTATAGTCACAGCAGGAAGCAGTGGCAACACCAGGCTACAATCAAAGTGCTAAACATAAGGAACAGACTGTAAACATGACAAAAGCTCACAAGAAAGAAATATGGCTCTCCACCAGCAAGCCCTGGAACAGCACCAGAGAACCGGAGGTTGTCTGTTCAGGTCTTGAAAGATGATTGGAAATTCAGTGCATGAAAAAACAGATGCAGGATAGTCTAGGCAGCATGAGTAGATGTGTAAGTGCAAGGCCAGGAACTCCCAAGGTGTGTGAGGTATGCAATAAGTCTAGTGGGTTGACGCTTCGGTTCATGTGAGGATAAGGCTTACATGAAGACTGGAACTGGGATGGAGGATATGAGTCAGGGCCCGAGACACAGGGGATACAGGAAGAGCCCATCCCCTCAACTGTGCTTTGCAAAGACAGACAACACTTGGCCTTGGTGACTTACCTAAGGCAGTAGATAAACTGACAAAGGCAGATTGAGAGAAGAACCTGATAGCCTGACTTCAGCTATTATATGTGGTTCAGCCAGCTTAAAATCATTTCCCTCCCACTGAGCACTAATCAGGAAAAGACTTTCAAAAGAGTGGAATTAATTGGACATCTGTCTTCTGGCTGAGCTACTGTGGCTATTATTTTAAAAAATAATTCTCACAGAATTTCTCTAAGAGGTCATTCATTCATCAGGAAAAGTTCATTGATAAGCCTCAGGTAGCTCTTGCCATAGCTGGATGGGTCCACCAGGTGGCAGCCTTCACAAATAGCACGTAATATTTTTTCATTTACCATTTCTACTGGTTGACTTAACATTTGTGCTCTGCATCCTTTGTATATTTCCTATTAGAGAAGATATCTTTGGTGTATGTATAGCTGTCAAATAATTTTTTTTTATAATGGCATATGTTTTTACAGGGGAAGAAGGCGTTTGTTCAGAGCCTTGTCATGTGTGGATAGCAAGCCCTGTTCCTCAGTAATTTCTAAAGAGAAATTCTCATAGTTTATATTATGTTTATCCTTATAGTTTTATAATGCCTATGTTTTTTTCATTTCTTACTGATCTGGTACTCTGACCACGCCGTTTGCTGACCACCACTGTGATGAACAGAAGCCATGTGCTGTGCCAGGCACAGGAGAGGTGGGATGGGGTCAGGTGCATGCTGCTCATATGTAGCAGGTTGAGAAGGAGGAGCACTGGAAGGATGAGGGACAAGGCAGCCAGATCTAGGCTGTTCCATTCAGGGTCCTCAAATCTGATAACACAAAGATGACAGTTCTTTCTCACCTCAAGGGTAGTGATGCAACCCTCATATCTTGATTATGAAAATTTATGGTATATATAGAAAGAACTTGAAACTGTTTTTTTAATACACCAGGTGGTATTGTTAGCCTCTTACAAAGACATAAAAGTCTAAGACAGGTGTGATGGTGCACAACTATAATCCCAGCACTCTAGCAGGACTGCTAAATTTGAGGTCAGGTTGGGATATGTCATGAGTTTCAAACCAGCTTGAACAACAGTGTGAGACCCTGTTTCAAACAAAAAAAAGTAAATGCTGAGATGCTGAGTTCCATAGAAATGAGTAGAATTGGGTTCAGATCCAGGGGCTCATGAGATGGGACAACCCAATGATCATATGGGTGTGTGTACTCAGTGTAGACAAGTGGAAGGAACCTCAGTGAAAGATGAATTCCAGTCATTGTTGGCCTTTTCATTCATCATGGGGGGTGGGGGGAGTTTAATTTCATCATGGATTCATTCATTTTATGAAAATCCCTTCCCCCAAATCTTCTGTGATAGGCTGTTTATTATCTGAATTTTCCATTTAAAAATAGGATCTCTACTACTAGATTCAATGTAAACTTTTAAAAGGTTTGCATTTGCATATGAGGCATAATTTATCTTTTTGTCAGAGTTCAAACCCAATCTGCCTAAAATATTTTCTACAAATATATTACTAAGTTAGATTATATTTTAAAAATACATGTAAAAACCTGTGAAGGCAATAATAAAATACTGTGTCTTCGATACTGAACTAGAAGTAAGACATGAACAAATCATTCCCTAAAGAAATATAAATAATACAATATCAGTTCATTGAATTGAAAAGTGGAAATAATGGGGAAATAAATTTTGATTCATCCAAATGATAGATTTTTTTTTCAGCCAATACAAAGCATGTCCTTAAAGAATATTGAATGATGAAAGGTTTTCACTATTATGTAATGTGAAATGAAAAATATAAAACTATTAATATCATAGCGAAATTGTTTCTAAAATAAGCCTATATCTATGTATGTGTTTATGTGCCTAAAGAAAGACTAGTATGTGCTGGTGATGTCACTTCATAGTTTAAAGATAGAACGTGTTTATCGTATATGCATTAGGGCTGAGGTTTGATTCCTACCCTTCTTCCACAAAAGAAGAAAAAATAAAAAAATAAAAAAAACCCAGCTGGAGAGATGGCTCAGCGGTTAAGAGCACTGGCTGTTTTTGCAGAGGACCTGGATTCAATTCCAGCACCCACATGGTGGCTAACAACCATCCTTAACTCCAGTTCCAGGGGATCGGATGCCCTCTTCTGACCTCCGTGGCCATTGCATGA